GAACCGCCCGCGGAGCTGGAGACGAACAACGCGGATCCAAGGGATCAAAACATCAGGGACCTCCCCCTTGGTGCGCAAGGGGAAGACCGTGGTGTAATGCAAGTAGTCGTCAACAACCAGCAGAAAGTAGCGCTCGCGGCCTTGTCCACGGACGCGGGCTGGGCCCCACACGTCCATGTGGAGAGTCTGCAGGGGAGCAGTCGTCGAGGGAAACGAGGAGGAGTGAGGAGCGGCGCGCTGTCGCCCCTCGACACAGGGAAGGCAGGGAGGGGCAGGCGAGGGTGGGAGGGGAGGCAGAGACCTGGGAAGACCAGAGACAAGGAGACGGGAGTGCATGCCACGGAGGCGTGGCACGGAGGGGTGACCAAGGCGGTGGTGCCAAAGGAGCGTCCGGTGCGACAGGGCGTGACACGAGCAGGGGGCCGCTAGCTGACCTGGCGCAGACGCAAACGCAGCTACCTGGGGAGGCTCAGTAGTCAGTGTGTTCAGACTCGACCCAGGTGACGGCCAGTCCGGGAGCACGTACAGATCGCCACACGCTGTCCGCCAGGGGTGAAGGTATCAACCCATTCATCCTGAAGGACGGCGTTGCTCACCAAGTTCGTAGAGAACGAGGGGAGGTGAAGACCTGACAGTGAGCCAGACGGAACCGCCGGACACGGGAGAACAGTGGAGGAACGTGCAAGAACTGGGCCCCCAGAGGGGTCAGCCAGAGAGACTGCAAGAGGTGCAGGGAGTGGTGTGACTGTGGTACTGTCGCGAAAGAAACAGCGGGAAGCACCTGAGTCAAGCGTGAAGGTGTGCAAGGCCGCAGCGCAGTACCAGAGAGAGCAGACTCACTAGCACCTAGAGCAGCAGACTCACTAGCACCTAGAGCAGCAGCCTCTATACCTGGGTCGGGCGGCACACACAGGTAACAGTCACCCTCAGCACTAACAGTCAATGCATACATGGCAGTGAGGATAGCATCATAGTCAAGAGCAAAGATATCCACCCTCTGCCTAAGCAGCTCCAGCCAGCGGGGGAGCTCAGCCGCGTCGCCAAACTCTGCACGCTAGGCGTCGCTCAGACAGGACAAGCAGCGGGACTGTGTGTGAACAATTGTCCCGCAAGTCTGACCAGCCCGATCACCTGTGCGAATGACGTACGGGCAGAAAGCAGTACTCCGAGACGCCCCACGCTGAGCGTACCACTCACGAAGCTGCTGGGGCGTAAGGGTCTCGCGCGGACGCCACTGCACCTGCATCTGGCCACCGCCAGAAACTCCCCACTGAACAGCTCCACGGCGACTGCCACTACGGCCGCCGCCACTACTCCAACTAGCGTACCACTCACGAAGCTGCTGGGGCGTGAGGGTCTCGCGCGGACGCCGCTGGAGCTGCATCTGGCCACCGCCAGAAACTCCCCACTGAACAGCTCCACCGAGGCTGCCACCACGACCGCAGCCACCACTCCCACTGCTGCCACCACCGCCGCCACCACTCCCACCACTACCACGAAGAGACGTCATAGCAGGCAAAGTAAGTAGGTGTGCGACCAGTACGGCAGCACGCAGGGAAGGCAGGGCGGCGAGCAGGCACTAGGGTAGGTCGGGGTGGCGCACGGTCACGGAAGGGCGGCGCGCGGCAAGAGTAGGGCAGCGCAATTGGCAGGGCAGGGCGGCGGCCAGCTGGGCGGCGCGCAAGCAGGGCAGGGCCGGGCGGCGGCCAGCAGGGCGGCTCGCGAGCAGGGCAGGGCGGCGCGGCAGCGAGCAGTGCGCGGGTAGGGCAGGGCGGGGCGGCGGCGAGCAGCTCGCGGGCAGGGCAGGGCGGCGCGGCGGCGAGCGGCGCATGGGCAAGGCAGGGCGGCGCGGCGGCGAGCGGCGAGCGGCGCGCGGGCAGGGCAGGGCGGCGTGGCAGCGAGCGGCGCGCGGGCAGGGCAGTGCGGCGCGGCGGCAAGCAGCGAGCGGGCAGGGCAGGGCGGCGCGACGGCGAGCGGCGCGCGGGCAGGGGAGGGTGCGCGGCGGCGAGCAGCACGCGGGCAGGGCAGTGCGCGCGGCGTCGAGTGGCGCGCGGGCAGAGTGGCGCGGCGCGGCGCGGCGACGAGCGGCGCGTGGGCAAGGCAGGGCGCGCGGCGGCGAGCAGCGCGCGGGCAGGGCAGGGCGCGCGGCGGCGAGCAGTGCGCGGGCAGGGCGGCGCGGCGCGGCGAGCGACGCGCGGGCAGGGCACGGGCGCGGTGGCGAGCGGCGCGCGGGTAGGGCGACGAGGCGGCACGCGGCGCGTGGGCAGGGCAGGGCGTGCGGCGGCGAGCGGCGCGCGGGCAAGGCGGTGGCGCGGCAGCGAGCTGCGCGCTGGCATGGCAGGGCAGGGCGTGCGCGGGCAGCGCGACGCAGGGCAGGACAGGGCAGCGCGGCACTAACAGGGCGGTGCGACTCGTGGGGTAGCGCGATTCGGTGGGCCCTAAAAAAACGGTCCTAGGAGAGGACCTGCTCTGAAACCATGTCAGAAGAATGAACGCTGATCAATCGACTAGCAGCATGCAGGAGTACAAGTAGCAAACCCTAATTGGGTTGTACCCCATATGGGCTACCCCACTACAGCCTACACAACATGCAGCACATAAGTTTGACAGCCACCCGCCCCATTTCCCGTCGTCCCAGCTCCAGGTCAATAATAACTCTCCCCAGAGCCAGTTTCGATGTACTCTGTGAACTTTCGAGGTTGGGACCTAAACTGGTTTTTTTTCGAAGTCAAAAGCTGAACAGCAAGTCATAATCTAAAATAGTTTTTAGTTACAAACCGAGTCTCACCCCTTCTGTTTTCTGTCCTCGAAGGCCTTTGGTCGCAACAAGGATAGTGAGAACGCAGGGGGCGGCCAGTTAATACTTAGATCTGGGTGAGGGCTACACACACAAGTACTGGAGAGGTCCCACTACTTCGCCCTTACCATTTTTAGTGGGTTAGGCGTTGTTGCCGATTCATTCCGCTAGGAGATTTCATTCAATGACTGAAGCCAGGCACGTGGAGATCAATTCGGATGGGCATTGCAAATTCAAGGTGATCTCTTGTCTTAGCAAAAGTGCCTAACACTTTGTAGCCCTGTTTGTTGAGTTTGGCCCCAAAACGTATATTTAAGGGCAACGTTTGGGGCAGCTCAGCCTTCCAAGTTCTGGCCCCAGAGCAATCGACAGCCCTGATCAGGACATGTTTTCAGCCCCTAGCCGGAAATATGTTTTATTGTGGGAAATTATATAGCCAGTCACAAACACTGGCTCGTTATCACGAATGGTCTCCCGGCTATCGCGTACGGTCACAGAATATAGGAATCTATCACGGATGGTCACAAAATCTATATCACGGATAGTCACAACGTTGCGCCACGACTCCATCACGCATGGTCACACAATGAAACGCTCAATGGAAAATTGAAATTACACCATTAACTGTAGAGATTCGGGGAAAGTTATCTCTCGCGCGAAAAAATGTTACCCCTGAAATAAGTTCGCGACCACTTTCGCCAACTCGTTCACAGTTGAAAAAAAATTGTCATATTCCCGCAGCATATTTACATCCGCAGCGAGTCGCAAATCAAAGCCTTTTAAACCGAGAAAATATTGACATAGCTGGCTAAGAACAGCATAATCAATATTTTTTTGCATAATAATTACCGTATGTTTTGTTTACAACAAATAATCGCACCTGTGGACTTTCGATATCATCCCTAAACACCTTGTCATAATGGTGTTTAGGGTTGATGCCCTCTCGGATGGCATGCCTTCCGAGTGGGTTTTAGTTTTTTTTTCTTCTTATTCTTGGAGCATGTAATTTCTTGTAACCTTCGCCTCCGCGACTCGCTACGGAAATAACCTGACTACGCATATATGACAAAACCAGTCGCCAGTTAAATGTCCATAAATCTCAACAGTTTAAGGCCGTTACAGATTGTACACCGTACGTTTCATCTTGTGACGAAACGTGATAAGTTTGTGGGGCAGCTTGTGACTCTCCGTGATAGAATCACGAAGTTTGTGACCATCCGTGATAGCTCTCTAGATTCTGTGACCGTTTGCGATAGCCGAGTGACTTTTTGTGATAACGAGCCCTTGTTTGTGACCGCCTATATATAACCCTTTTCTTGTTCGCCCCTTCACCTTGTTTCAGGCAAAATGGCAGGTGTATTGGAAGCTTGTGTCAGGCCCCCAAGAGAAGATCTGCAAGCCCTGAGGTCCGTCTCGAAAAGTCGAGCCCCTCAACCTCCCCGCTCGCCCTCAGTTCTGGTGGGCCATCAGGTGACCTCGATCTGCTGGCGCAAAATTCGCCCAAAACAAAATACAGGCAGAATGTCATCCAGCGGTGTGAGGTAGTGTCGCGACAAAATGTGCCTCTCAGGCTCCACAACCAGAAGCTCTGCTACACTATACGACGCCTGTCAGTGTAGCAAATTCATCAGTGTACAGTACCAGTGTCCATGTCCCGGCCGGGCAGCTGGCCCCAACCAAACCCTAAGCCCGCCTTTCCTGCCATGTTTCTGGATTTGGACGTGCTCCATGTGCGGGTGACTGGAATTGGTTGTGTGTTCATTCAAGGTTCAGTCATGTCATCACTTTGATTCGGCCTCACGCCTCCCCTCAGCTCTCTGCCGGCTTTCACGGGCAAACGGTCTGTTCAGTTCACTACTCGCCACGCAATACTTCCCACTGAATGAATCCTAGCCTCTCAAACGTTACTACGTGGCAGAATTGCCACGTGCGAGGAATCACAGCCAAGGGGTTGGTTGGTTCGTTCGTTGGTAGGCCAGCCCACAACCGACAGAAACACAGAGGTAGTGCGGAAGAGTCGCGTGACCTGCGGAATAACCTGGGGCTTCTTCTTTCAGAGATATCCAGGGAATGTCTTAGAGGCCGCAACTGTATGTTACGACTTAGTTAGTTGTCCGACGAAATTACGCCTTTCCCACGTCACTATCGTATAACTCGAAATTCGGTAAGGCGCACGTGCGAGACGGGGGACAGAAGCCGACTAATGGGGGACATAAGCCGACTAATGGCGGCCGTGAATGTTGTCCTCCTGATTCCTCTCGTTCTGGCCTTCATGCCACGCCACGCCGCCCACGCTTCCACCGTGACGCAGCAGCCCACGCAATTCGATATCTCCATGCGAAAGACGATGGAGCTCCCCGAGGAGCTGAGGCGGCAGCATGTGGACCGCGTTCTCGAAGCCGTTCGCGTCGCGGAACGCGAATTCGAAGGCGGCGGTGGCGGCAGCCGGCGCAGTGAGCGCGTTCTGGCCGACACAGGAATGAAGCTCGGGCTGTCGGCGCCGCCGCTCAGCTCGGGGCCGAGCATGGCGACAGTGAAGAAGTCGTTCTACTGTCAGAATGTGTTTGTTGTCTAGTCTGCAGTGGGGTACTTTGTAGTGAGTACAACCCAATTAGGGTTTCCTATTTGTATCCCAACTATTGCTAGTGCAATCCTCTCTTCTCTGTTTCTAACTTTCTCACTGTAATTCCGACATGCTATCAGAGCAGGTCGACCCTCCCTGGTCGATCCTGTGGATGGGCCCACCTAATGCTTCCGCTGCTGTCCTGCCTATCGCGCGCCCCGGGGCGCGCGACGTTTTCTGCCTGCCGCGCGCCCGGCGCATGCGGCGTTTTTTCTTCCCGCCACGCGCTCGGGGCGCGCGGCGGTTTCGTCCCCCGTCACGGCACCCCAGGGGCCCGCGCGCCGCCCCCTCCCGTCGCCCGTCGTGGCGCCCCGGGGGCCCGCGCGCTCTCTCCTCCCGTCGCCCGTCGCGGCGTCCCGGGGGCCCGCGCCCCGCCCCCTCCCGTCGCCCGTCGCGGCGCCCCGGGGGCCCGCGCGCTGCCCTGCCCGTCGCCCGTCGCGGCGCCCTGGGGGCCCGCGCATCGCCCCCTCCCGTCGCCCGTCGCGGCGCCCTGGGGGCCCGCGCGTCGCCCCTCCCGTCGCCCGTCGCGGCGCCCTGGGGGCCCGCGCGTCGCCCCCTCCCGTCGCCCGTCGCGGCGCCCTGGGGGCCCGCGCGCCGCCCTGCCCGTCGCCCGTCGCAGCACCCCAGCTGCTGCCCGCGTTTCTGCCCTGCGCCGCACGCGCGCCTCCTGTGTTGGGGGGTATGGGGGTGGCGGGTATGGGGGTGGCGGGTGTGTGAGGCGTCCCCTGCTCCTCCTCCTCCTCCGTCTCCCACTGCTGCAGCTGCCGCTGAGGGGGGTGGGTGTGTGGGAGCCGAAGGAGTGGTGCTAGGGGGATGTCGTGGGAGTGGAGCTAGAGGTGCAGCAGGAGGTGTGTGAAAGGGGGGTGGGACAGTTGGGGGAGCTAGAGTTGGGGGAGGTTGAGCTAGAGTTGGGGGAGGTTGGGCGGAGGTAGCCGTCGTGTCGCCAGCAGCGCCAGTAGTCCGGAGGCTACAATCTCCGGTAGCCCAGTTTGAGCCAGCTGCGCCAGTTGCCCGTGGGTCCGTTGCTCCTGCCGCTCGTCTTAGCCGCGGAGCCAGTTACTCATGTAGTCCGGGGCCCTTGCTCCGGTAGCCACTCTGTCAGTGCGGCTCCTGTTGCCCGTGTGTCTGGAGCTTCAGCCGTCGCCTCCTATCTCCTCTCCTCTCACAGTCCCGCCTCCTCCTCATCACTTGCCCTCTTTGACTGCCTCTAGCTTTACTTGTGCTTGTGAACTATTTTGTGACTGCTTGCTGTGCTGATTATACCCCACTTTGACTATGGGGGTGTGTCAGAATGTGTTTGCTCTCTAGTCTGCAGTGGGGTACTCTGTAGTGAGTACAACCCAATTAGGGTTTCCTATTTGTATCCCAACTGTTGCTAGTGCAATCCTCCCTTTCTAACTTTCTCACTGTAATTCTGACATCTACCGCTGGGAGAGCGTCGAGCCGCCGCCCGTCGTCGACTGGCGCAAAACCGTCGCCATCACGCCCATTCAGACGCAATACGTGGTGCGTACCCCGCCCAACCCGCAGTATGTGGTGCCTACTCCGCCTGTGGCTGCACGCCCGTCTGATTTTCACTCGATGTTTGCTAGCTGCCGGGGACAGTAGGCTGATGCGATATGTTCAGCTCACTTAGATGCTGCGTGTCTCGAATCGTCGTGCTTGATGTATTACTTTGCTCTTACTCAGCTCCAATCGCGTCGCTTACTCTCCTCACATCCCACCGCAGTGCTCAAGCTGCTGGGCGATCTCAGCCGTCGATACAATCGCCATAATGTGGGCGATCGCCAACAACGGCGTCGGGACGAATCTGTCGCCGCAGCAGGTGTGCGACTGCGCGACGAAGCAGTGCTGCCAGGGCGGGTGGCCCGAGTGGGCCTTCTCCTACGTGCTCTTCAACGGCGGCGTCACGTCCAACGCCAACTACCCCTACCTCGCCTACGATTCCGCCACGTGTCTGTTCGACACATCCATGCCGTCTGTGGCGCAGATCACGGGGTGGCGCCATGGCGCTCATGAAGGCCGTCAGCATGCAGCCCGTCGTCGCCTTCATCAGCGCCTCCGCCGCCGACTTCACCGTACGCCTCCTTGCGCCCTGCGCCTCGCTCCCGCTTGATCCATTCCCCTCGTGTTTCCGCTCATACTGATTCCCGATTCTGCTCATACGGTGTCCCCGCTTACACCGTTGACCGAGTCCCCGCGTTTCCCTGCTATCCCCCGACTTCCCACGTTTCCTCGCTCACATCGAATCCATAGATTTTCCTTATTCCCCGGTCACACCGTTTCCCATTTCTCGTGTTTCCTCACTCGGCCTGTTTCCCGACTCTGTCGTTTCCCCGCTCACACCGTTTCCCGGTTCCCCGCGGTTCCCCACTCGCACCGCTCGCGACCGCGTTTCTCCATCGCAAGGCTTCGCAATTTCCCGCGTTTCCCCACTCGCAACGCTTCGCGACTCGTCGCGTTTCCCGTGCCTATCGACCCCTGTCTCCACGTGCAGGCGTACGCAAGCTGCGACACGATCAACATCTACAACGGCGTGTGCACGACTGACGTGAACCACGCGGTGGTGGTGGTGGGCTTTAACTACACGGGGCCGGACCTCAAAGGCAGCTACTGGATCATCAAGAACTCGTGGTACGCCACGTGGGGCGACCGCGGCTACATGTACCTCGCCATGATGCCCGACGTGCGCGGGAAATGCGGCACCTTATCGTACGTTCCTTGACCCACTGTCGACTCTTGCGCGGGAAATGCGGCATCTTATCGTACGTGCACCCACTCTCGTCACGAATTCTGCAGGACTCGTGCGCGCAAAATGCGTTCTGCAGGACTCGTGCGCACGTGCGGTAGGGTAACGATTTTATCTTGGCGCGTCTCGCAAACTGACATGCGCACATGCATTCTTCTACCTCCGTCGCGCATCCGGTCGCATATACCCTTCCAACGCCTCTCCTACCCCTCAAACTTCTCTTCCTCCATTAATCCACCGATTCGCCCGCTGAACTGCGTGCTCTTTCGAGTGACATGCAGAATCGTTTTCATTTTCGCGTACGCGTCTCCCACCTCCCCATCTCCCTGCCTTCACTGTCGCGTGCCCTATCTCTAACGCCTCCCTCCGCTGCAACAGTCTCTGTGGTCTCCGAAACCCAACGACCTTGATCCCCTTTCCCCGGGTGCGAAATTATTTTGTCCATCTATTAACCAAATTATGCTCTCCTCTGACCATACCCCTGTTTCTGTGCAGAACCCCCGCCATGTACCCCGTCTACTTCCCATCAGGGCAGCAGCCGGCGCGCTTTGCGTCTTACAAGCGCGGCAAGTGGCGAATCAACAAAGTGGACGACCTCTCGTCGTCGCTCTACTCCTCCACCCTTTCAACCACCACCACCACCACCACTACCACCACTATTAGTACGACCACGCAAAGTACGACGTGCCCGGGGATGATCAACCTGTGCGGCGGGGGCAGTTGTAACATCAGCGGCGGGGTTCCGCGGTGCAACTGCAGCGCGATGGCGAATATGGTTGAGGTGTTGGGAGTGCCCACGTCCAAGTGCGTGCCGCGAAGTCCCTGCACGACGGCTCTTGTGAATCCCTGCGCTGGCGGAACGTGCACGGATGTGGGCGACGGGACGTACACGTGCGCGTGCACTGCGGGTTACGCCGTCGGCGCTGCTGTCGACGGTTCGCCGACGTGCGTTCCTGCAGCTGGCCTCGCGAAGTCTTACGTTACCAACCCTGGCGACAACTGCACGTTTGTCGCGACAGCTTTCGGAATTTCGACCACCACACTGACAAATCTGAACACTTTCATTAACTGCTCCGTTACATAATACCTCCCTCCCGGAGTAGTACTTACAGTATCGGCAACACTTAATTCCTCATCCTCATATTGCACCAACACATACACCATCCGACCTTCAGACACTTGCACTTCTGTAGCCAAGACGTTTTTCAACGGATCCCTCACCTCCCTTATGGCAAGCAACCCTGGATTATCGTGCAAGCGCTTGTTTAAGTCGGAGCAAATCTGCCTTCAAATGGTTACCGCATCGGCCACATCATCGGCTGTGCAGTGCGGGCAAAGCGTCGACGTGGTTATGGGAGACACTTGCGCATCGGTCGCCGTCAGATATTCAGTTGATTACGTGACCGTCGTATCGTGAGTACTCCAAACTCTGCCACGTCATCGTTTGCATTTCAATTTCCCATCCGCGCTCCACTCCCCCTTCCCCCCCTATCCCATTCAACACTGTCTCACTATTCCCCTGAATTCCCCTCTTTTCACCCCCTCCCTCTCCTCCTGTGTGTCCACCTTCACTCAGACCATCCGATGCTCACTCAGTCTGTGTGTCCCTCTCCCTGCAATCCTCATGGCATGCTCCTACCTTGTTCCTTCTTTCTCCACAATCAAAAGGCTCTCGTTAGCAACCTCAATAGCCTCCCTGGCTTTGTTCTTCTCACATTTCTCCCCCCATGCAGTGCCTTCCTCCCTACCTCGTCGCACCATTCTTTCTCTCCTCGTCCGTTTCCTCCCTCCCTCCCGCTTTTCATTCCCACCCCTTCCAGTGCCAGCCACCTTACCTCTCTTTCCCTTGCTGTCCCCCTCCCCCTTCCTCCCCCCCCCCCTTCAACTCTTTTCCTCTCCATGCAGTGCCAGGCGCCCTACCTGGTGGTGGGCCAGCAGGTCTGCATTTGCTCCTGTTCCTCTTTCTCCGTTTGCACTGCCAGCCTTCTTACCTCTTTCTTCCTTGCAATCCCCCCCCCCTCATTCAGTGCCAGGCGCCCTACCTGGTGGTGGGCCAGCAGGTCTGCATCGACTCACCCATCCTCACCACCATGCAGCGATCTCCCAACATCTCCTATTCCATCTACACCGTCCGTGCCAACGACACCCTCTCGACAATCTCCTCCCTCTTCCTCCCCCGCTGCACGCTTCTCTCCGTGACCCCCGCCGCCATTGCCGCCCAAAACTTCATCGCCAACCTCTCTGCACCGCTCCCCGTCGGCACCAACCTCATCATCCCCTGTATAGGCGGCATCGGCATGATCGACGGTGGCTGTGCATTGTCTCTCACAGTGTGCGGAGCAGATTTCGTCTCGTACCCGTCGTACTGCCATGCAGCAGTGAACTACGCTCTTCCAATCTTCCAGAATAGCCCGTGTGACAGGTGTGGGGCCGCATGCCCTGGCCGCATGGGCCTGGCTCCGCTCGGTGGCTTCGGTTGCACGCAAGCCATCTGCCCGTATCCAACCTGGTTTGGAGGATCAGAGTGCTATTTAGGTGGTGGCAACACTACCACAACAACTGGCAACACTACGTATACGCTTGGGCCGTGCTGCAGTTACCGCAAAATCTTCTGCGAGAAGCAATGCAGCCTGACAGTGCAAACCGCAGGCGGTGACGAGATTAAAAGAGCTGCAACCCTGAACACATGCATGAGCAACTGCATCTGCTGCGGTGCTTTCCCGTGCGGGGGAAATGCGACGTGCACCACGTGGAACAACGCGTGCTATCGGACCTCTCCTCGCACCTGCACGTACGCTATGGGGACAGGGTGCACATACATCTGCAGCTTCTACCCTCCTGCAACTCCCCTGGTTTGAACAGCTGTAGTGGGCCGCGGACGCAGAGCAACGCCTGCCCTTTCACACCTCTCCACGCTTTCAAGTTCTTCAACCGTCTGTCGGAGACGAGGCATTCTCTACCGCGGCCAGTCTTTTTGCAGCCCTGCGCTTCTTTTCTTCCATCTTGATTCCGCAATCATCCCACGCTTCCTCCGAGTCCTCCCACCTGTGCCAAAACTTGTGTCGAATCATTGTTAAACAAGTGGTCTTGTCACATCCTTTCAACAACCCCTTGTCTACGTTTGTTAGTGGTACGATCTTCCCTCTTGGCCCGGCGTCTGGACCAAAAAGCACATGCGCTCCTGCTGCCAGCGATCTCGCCGCGTCTAACTCGGTCCCAAACTGACTGCCGATGACCAGATGCCCGTTTTTCGCAGGAACGCACACAAGTCTTGCAACCCAGCGGCCGCTCCACGGCCTCTGTGCGACGCCCACGGGGCACCTGGATGGGGCTCCTGTAAGGGGCGCCTGTGGGGGGCGCCTGTAAGGGGCGCCTGTGGGGAGCGCCTGTGGGGTGCATGGGGTGAGCGTGCCTTGTACAATCTGATCAGCACTGGGAGGGTTTGTTCTGCCTTTCATTTTATTTTGTGCTGGACTGAACCGTTCAAGCTGCCAGTCTGTTGCTTCCTGCCGGCTCATCGTTGTCAATATCCATTGTCATTCATTCAATTGATTCTTCCTTTGTGAACCAAAGTCACCACACGGGGGTAGGTGATCTGCATGTGTGCTTCCCAGCACTAGCCAACTGTATGGTAATTTGGTCCATTAACACCCGGGACCAGTACCACCCAACCCAACCCAACCCATTAGTGTTGCAGACATGGTAGTAATGTACTGCACTTGGTATTGTATCACCAAAGGCACACATATGGTTCACCACATGCACCAACATGGCTTCATCTCACTCGCGTCACCAACGGAAAGGCGCGGCAATGCAGCAATCCGGCCTGATGAGTAACCCATTCAGCTCTCTCACCTTCACCACCACCACCACCACCACCCCTCCTTGGTCCTGTGAAGCACTCACCACTACCACCTCATCCATTCTGCATCCAGGATCCAACTCACTCTTCTCACTCTTCTCACTCTTCTCACTCTTCTCACTGTTACTCCACACATTCAGAAATCTCCGGCTGCTGCACCTGCCCTCTTCTCACTTACTCACGCAAGCGTTACCCCGTAACCAGCACAGAACTGCGCCAGAGCCTCCCTGTTCGCATCACTCACCCCCTGCTGTATCACCGCTCCGAACCGCCCCGGACTCCTCGCCGTCAACGCCCCCAACCCCACAGTCAGGTACTGCCTCGCGTCATTCGTCTTATCCTTCACCGGATCCTCCTCTGTCTTCCCCGCATGGTGCAGCTGGGCATACGATGCGGCATACCCCGATGCGATCTCCTCTGCATCGGGCACGTCGGGCTCCTCCGCCTGTGCTGCCTCTCTCTGCTCCTTGGGCTGCACCAGGAGTGTTAGCACGGCGTCAAGCAGGCGAGCCCACGTGGGCAGGGCGGCATCAGCCTGACAGGGGGGGAGGAACAAGGGGGAAGGGGAGAGGGGAAGAGAGGTGAAGTGGAGGAGGGAAGGCAGATGCAGGAGATGGGCAAGCGCTGCCTGTGCCTCCTCTGCCTGTGCTTCCTACTGCTGCTCCTTGGGCTGCACCAGCAGGGTTAAGACAGCGTCGAGCAGGCGAGCCCACGCGGGCAGGGCGGGGTCAGCCTGTCGTGGGGGAGGGGAGGGGGGAATGGGGCAAGGGGTGACGGGTGGAGAAGAGGTGAAGTGGAGGAGGGACGGTGGATGAGGGAGATGGGCCACGCTCTCTTTCTGCTTGCTCTGCATGTGTTGCCTCGCACTGCTCCCGGGGCTGCACCAGCAGGGTCAGAACGGCGTCGAGCAGGCACGACCCTAAACACCGGCACTTCAAGACATGCACCTTCACCACCCACCACCCACCACCCACCAGCAACCCCAACCCACTACACAACCCACCTGCAGGTCGCTGCATTCACAGAGAACATCAGTAGCAGCCACGGCACAGAGCTTGGTCTCAACCGCATCACAGATGGAGGGCAGCCCGGGCGCCCACAAGCGAGGGGAGAGGGGGCACTCAACCCACCACCCACATACACCACTCACCACCCATCAGCAACACCCACCCACCTCACAACCCTCCTGCACCGCTCACAACCCACCTGCAGATCACTGCATTCGCACAGCACGTCAGTGGCGGCCACGGCACAGAGCTTGGTCTCAACAGCTTCACAGATGGACGGCAGCCCCGGCGCCCACACACCCGCTGTGATCTGCAGGAAGAGGCCCGGCTGCACCGCGTTGACTGACGCCACCACGGGTGCGACCCCGTGCTTCACGAGGAAGAGCGAGAGGAATATGAGCAGACCCCGCACAAACTTGGGCGTGCGGGAGTTCTGGAAGGGGGGAAGGGGATGGGGTGGGGTGGGGGGAAGGGAGGAGGGGGTGCGGGGGGGGGGAGAGAAAGGCTTGGCATGAAGCAGGTGCGGGGGGGGGCTTGAGGCACGCATAAAGGAGAGAAAGGTCCAGCATGAAGCCTTTAAAACGTTTGGAAGCGGGTGGGTCGAAGTGGATGGGAGGGTTTGGAAGGCCGGGTTGGGTTGGGCAGGCAGAGCAGGGCACGTGGTGGGTTAACGGGCATGTGAGGGGGAAGGGGGAACGTAAAGTGGGGAGGGGGCACGTAAGGGGGAAGAGGGAACGTTGGGAGGGAGGTGGGACGTGAGGGGGGGAGAGGGAATATGAGGGGGGGAGGGAGAACGTGAGGGGGGAGGGGAAGCGTGAGGGGGAACCCTGTAGAAGAGCCAGTTCCAAATAGTGGAGTCAAAGGGCGATGTTGTACAAACGCACAGCCACTCAGTATCGTTCACACCCACCCACCAGCACCCATCTGAACCCACTCATCCACCCACCCATCCACCCACCCGCTCACCTCTTCACGGAATCAACAATCCACACCCACCTGCAGCCTATAGAAGAGCAGTTTCCAAATGGTGGGTACAAAGGGGGTGAGGAGCATGTGGCCTAGATGCTCACCCATTCAATACCGCTCACACCCACCCACCAGCGCCGCTCTGCACCCATTCACCAACCCAACCAACCACCCACCTGCAGGCGGTAGAAGAGCAGGTTCCAGATGGTGGGCACAAAGGGAGCCAGGGCCGCATGGTCGAGGTGCTCCACGACGGTGTTGAGAATGAAGAAGCCCTGATGGTCCGAGTGCTTCGACGCTATCAGCTTCTGGAACACGCCCAGCACTGGCGGCACCTGCCCTCCCCCCACTATCTCCTTTGCGGCCTTCTGCAGGTACGCCTGGGGAGGGGGAGGAGGGGACGCGGAGGGGGAGGGGGATCGGGAGAGGATGAGGCTAGGGCATGGTGGGACAGTGAAGAGGCGAGGGGAGGTGGCGAGGGGCGAGGGGCGAGGGGCGAGGGCGAGGGGCGAAGGCGAAGGGAGGGAGTGAGGGGAGGGAATGAAGGGAATGAGTGAGGGGAGGGAATGACGGAGGGAGTGAGGGGAGGGAATGAAGGGAATGAGTGAGGGGAGGGAATGAGGGGAGGGAGTGAGGGGAGGGAATGAGGGGAGGGAGTGAGGGGAGGGAATGAGGGGAGGGAGTGAGGGGAGGGAATGAGGGGAGGGAGAGAGGGGAGGGAACGAGGGGAGGGAGTGAGGGGAGGGAATGAGGGGAGGGAGAGAGGGGAGGGAGTGAGGGGAGGGAGTGAGGGGATGGAGTGAGGGGAGGGAAAGAGGGGAGGGAGTGAGGGTAGGGAGTGAGGGGATGGAGTGAGGGGAGGGAAAGAGGGGAGGGAGTGAGGGGAGGGAGTGAGGGGAGGGAATGAAGGCCAAGCAAGGAATGACGAAATGGAGGTGAGGCGAGGTAGGAAGTGAGCAAAACGCATTGGCAGTTGTGAGAGCTGGCAGTGGAGAGGAACCGGGGGAGGACGAGGAGCAGGTGGTGGGTCGGCCGCATTAAAAGCGGCAGCTGAGCCAAAAGGGCCAAACGGGCCAGACGGGTTACCTGCAGCAGGCGCACGAGGGCGGGCACGTTGCCTGCTCGCTCCCACAGCGTGGGCGAGATGAGCGCGGGGAAGAGCGCCATGTACGCTGCTGGGAGTGGTAGAAGAGATGGCGCAGAGCGGCTCTCGATAAGCAGTGCGAGGAGCTGCGAGGGGGGGGGAGAGGGAACGTGGGGATGAGAGGCGGGAACAGCGCCATGTACGCTGGTGGAAGCGGCAGCAGTGGTGGTGCAGAGCGGCACTCGATGAGCAGCGCGAGGAGCTGGAGGCGTGGCGCGGCGTGGAGAACCATTCAGCGAAACACACGTTACGGGGAGGGAGAAGGGAGGGGAGAGAGTTGGAGGTGATCGGAATGGGACATGGAGAAATGGAGACATGGGCAAAGCGGACTGGCTCTCTCTGTGTGCACGAGAGACCTCCACCTCACCATGCAATGCCCACCAGTGACCCCCCTAGCCCCCCTGAACCCCCTAAACTCACACTCAACACCCACTTGACAGCCATCTTTACCTGAAAACCCACCTGACACCAACAGCCACCCCACCTGAAACGCGTACGGCGCAAACTCCTGCACGTCGGCGTCGAGCACGAGCTGCAGCAGAGGAAACACCTGCGCCTCGCACACAGGCACCTGGCCAGGTGCGTCCTCCGCTGCCGCCCGCCTGACGAGCGCGGCCACAGCCTCAAACGCGTAGTGGTTGAATGAGGGGTTGGCGGGGTTGCGGCAGGCGGCTGTTAGCAGGGCCACGAGGGCCGGCAGGGCGAGTGGCAGGATGGCGACTGGAGCAGCGGTAGTGGATACCACCCGCATGAGACACTTCATCACGTACTGGTTCTCCTGTGGGGGGGGAAAGGTGTCGGGTGGGTGTAAAGGGGAAGGGAAATGGGGGAGTTCGGGCATGGGGCGAACCCTGAACCAACCATCTGTGTGGGTGGCAAGCGCCTGTGAGGGGCAGGATGGATGTGGGGGCTGCTGTGGTGGAGAGTGGAGACGACTCGCATCAGACACTTCACATACTGGTTCTCCTGTGAGAGGGGGAAGAGGGGGGGAAGGGAAGTGGGAAGGTGGGGGGGGGTTTTGGGCATGG